TTTCACCCTAAGGTATAACTAAAACTTTGTGGAATCTTTTTACAGTTGCAACTTCATACGGAGGAAAAAAGTGTATCAGTAAAACAACAAGCTACAAATAAAATAAATATTGTTTATAGTTGCAGGATCTAGATCAACACGGGGGAAAAGATAGATGTGGATCTATTATTAGAGCACTGTGATCTCCAGTTGATCTGTAATGGCGTCTGAGTCCCAAATATTTTACAACTGCAGAAACAAAATGGTTTTTCCCACCCAGATTAGCCTGATGGGATGGTCCAGTTAGGGTCACCAGGAACAGACTTTCAGAGGAAAGGACAGTGAGCCCTTTTCAGTTCTGTTACTACAAAGTCCTATGCATAGATCCAGAAGGCAATATCCTATCCTGCTGGCTGCAGCTGGAGGCCATCATGAACACAATGGGGAGACAGCAGTTCTTAAAGCAACCGGAAGCTAACAAAAATGCTCATTTCCTGAACAGATCAGGCCAGTGGAGCTTGCAGAAAGGAGCTCCCTTGATCCGTCCCAATCTGGTGTTTCCAGTCAAGATTTACTTGAGGAAGTGCTGATTTGCCATTGCACTAGTGGTGGGTCTTGCTGACACAACAGAACGAACAGGAGTGCCGCAGCAATATTGGATGTTGTTGTTAGTTGCCATCAGTTTGTCTATGACTTATAGAAACCCTGAATGAGCGAATACCCTCCAAAATGTCCTGTCCTTGACAGCCTTGCCGAGTCATTGTAAACTTCATCATAGAGTTTACAAGGTAAGAGCATTCAGAAGTGGTTTACCATTGCCTAGTTTGAGCCCCACTGCCGTTGTCTCTGAAAAATCCTTCAGCAGTATCACTTTCAGCTTCCTCTGCTGCCAAGTAACTGCCCTTCAGGGGTTTCTCTGCCTCAGCACCATTAGAGATATTCCTTCTCTTCTGCTGATGTGACCATTTCTCCTGAAGAACATGGATGCATATTAGTCCGGAGCCTCTGCTTTGACCATTCTTCCTTGTATGATCCTGCTAGGAGAGCAGTCTGGCCTCCTGGCGGAATTGCTCTGGGCTTCTCTGACACTCTCAGTCCCCTGACTATGTTAAGGGGTGCATCCAAGCAGAGGCAGTACTGGCACTCAGTCTGTCTAGAGGCAACCAGTTCTTTACAACCCAGCTCTGATTGGTGGATCCTGGACTTGTAGTAAAAACATAAGGAAGTATTGCTGACAGCTTTGAAGTCTGCTGACCTTTTTTAAAAGTCATCCTGTGCTGAATGATTTGAGTGAGTATGGATGTTGTACAACAATTTGAGAAAGTCTTGAATCTCAAAGGGATAAATGTCTCTCCTTAGGAAGATGCTTACTTGGCTTCTCTCTTTGAGAAGCCTTTGATGGTTTCCTTCCAGCAGAGGTCATAGTCAGGGTGGGAAAATCCTTTGGGCCATTCAGGCCAATTGAGGGGAATGAGTAATAGAAGCAACCTGTAAGAACCAGTGGATTATGCACTATAGGATGGAGTCTGGGATTCAAAACAGAAGCTGAAGCCCTTGTGTTTAGCGAGACACAGAGCTGCAAATCCCAAGCAAAGAAATGAATGAAAGTGAAAGCTGCAGGCAAGTCTAAGGAGCAGACATGTACACTGACAGGACTAGCAGCTATATAGTTTAAACCAGAACTATGGAAAAATGAAAACATATACCTAGGACCATCATGTCATAAATTGTACATTTCTCAATGTGAAACAAAAGAGGCATTGCAATGCAAGTACAAAAGAAGGAAAAACAACAACCTGTTAAACAATGGTTTTAATTTCAATGTTAGAAAACTGTGAAGAAATAGTATTTTTAAAAATGAGTAAAATTTGTAAATATTTAGACTGTTCTATACTTTCAGATATTTAGAAGAGGGAAGAGTTCTGAGAGATTTGCAATACATTTCCAAGGGTTTTTGATTCCAGTAGGTTGCAGCCCAAATCTTTACTGAAAGCAAGGATTGCTTGGTTAGTTCTTATCTCAGGAAGGATACTGGAAGCCTCAGAATGTCTGGGCACCTTTCTCTGTTCAAAACCTGGAGCTAAACTGTCAGTGCCACAGTCTGGCTGCTCACCCTGCATAGAAAGTCTTGGGAAAAATAAATAGTTCTCCCTTCTAATGCCAGAAACGTGATGTTCTCCATAAATGTTTGACACAGATTTGTTATAGTTCGCTTTGTCTTGTAGATTGAGAAGAATCAAACTGCGCAGGATGTGCTGAAGTTACTTCTTGTCTGACATGCTTAGGCTTGGCCAGTAAATTCACAACTATACCAATTCTGACCCCTGCTATAACCCTAAACCAGAAATCAAAGAAAGCTCAGTTGTTTGGTGTGTTTCAGCCTTGAAACCAAGGCTGCTTCAGAACATAAAATACAGAGAAAAAGGAATGGATTTTATTGGTTCAGAGATGAGAACTTTTGTCACCCAAAGCAGACTTCTCACCCCTTCCTAGGAAGGTGATAATGCTTAAGATAACTATCCTATTTCAAATTCATTGATGAAGTAAGGAAATGAAACAATATTAATAATCAACAATGTGTACAGTATGTTTGACTATTTAACGTGTTTCACATATACAATTGCCTCCTTACAACATTTATAGTTAGGCAAATATTCCCATATTTCAGTTTGAGGGCTGAGAATGAGCTAACAGTGGCTTGTTTAGGACTACCTAGTGGTAAGATTTGACTTTGTAGCTTACATCTCTTTTCCATTCTGCCACACAAGCTGTTCACTCACCCTTTATAACCCAGCAGGTACAGCAGGCAGTCACCACCCTTCTTTTATGTGCAGATCCAGTTTCATGACCTCCTGAATTACATACCACTGGCTGAACTTTGTAACTAAAAACTATTTATATGAATGGCTTTTTTCCTCTTCCCCCATCCTGCTTCATTTTGCATTGTATTCTTCAGACTGTAAGCCTGATGGCATACTTACCTATTAAACTTATCTTTGTAAGCTATTTGGTACTCTTTTTCAACAGATTACTGAATAAAATGGCTTAAATAATCTCTACAAATAAAGAGTATAAGATATGTACACTTGGATATAAAACAATATTCCACAATTCCTTCTTAAATGGGAAATGGGAGCTCTGAATTAAGATATGTGTTGCCCTTTTCCAAGTGGGGGTAGATTCCTAGCCATTTCTTATTTTAATGTCAATGCATTACAAATTTTTAGAATTGCCCACTAACACTTAAAAAGCCAAAGTGCATTTAAAAATAGCTATAATGGCCTTAAAGAAAATGTGTTCCTGATAAGATTCCTTTAAAAAATTACATTACAAAAAAATAGGAAAATGAAGTGTTTTAAGTAGTAAATATTGAAAGTTGCCAATTTCCAGCAGAAAATATTGAAAGGGAGACTCCAGTGTGAATTAGTTGAATCAGAACTAATAACATTTTGCATATATTTGTTAGGGCTTGAAAAGAGATTATGTTCTATTCTGCCCCCACAAACATTAATTTATGTAGCTATTCGAAGGTAATTGTGTGATTGTCAATTAATGTGACTGCGAATGGCCACTTTTCTTTGCATACTTTAAAGCTTTAATTGGTCACTTTTTGCATTTTAACACTAATTTACCATTTCCCTCCATCCCCACCTACATGCCTGCGCACTAAGAATAGCACCTCACGCCTTCGATGAACATGACTCTGAAAAGCTTACTTGTTAGACCTTAAGGCAGCAAAAGTCATTGGGCAAGTGAAAAATGTTTTAAGAGTTTGAGATTTTATTTTGAATTGGCGTCTGTGTTTTGCTACAGCAGGTTTGCAGTGGGCGATCTAAACAAGTTTATTCAGAAGTGAATCCTTAGTAATATTAACAATTACATTATTGCAAGTTAACGGGCGACTGAATTCAGTCGGAAATTCCGTGATCTCTCCATAGTAGATTAAAGCGACTGACAACAGGAATAGATCCTCTCATTCCGGTTTTGATTTTGACTCTTTTTTTTTTTCCAAATAGCCTGTGAAATGTTAGTAAAGAGGAATTGTTCCCTCGTGGTATCTTAATGACCATCAGTTCAAGAGCTCTGAAGTCCCGGCCCACAAAAGCCGCTACAAAAGTAAATCTACACAAAAGTAAATCCCAAACACAGCTACTAAGGAGCAAGCCGCATTGAGCTACATGGGAATAATTTGATAGGAAACTTGTACAGGATTACCTTGTAAAAGGATGTAACGTAAAAACGTTTATGTATGTGTTCGCATTAACGGACGAACACAGCTCCTTTCCAGATGGATTTTTTAAACTCAAGAACTTTATACTTATTCAGTTTATACCTCTCCTGCAGCAAGGAGTGTATATGCAACGCTAAGTCTTCCCCCTCCCGCTAAAGAAGATACGACTGAGAGATGCAGAGCGGTGAGAAAACCCGAGCAACATAGAGAGTAAAGTCCACACAAGCTAGAGCGTCCCTGCCTTGCACCAAAAGCCGTATCGGCCTTAGCACATCCCTCCCAAAGCCAACTTTCCCCACCAGTTAATGTTATGGAAACTGTCGCATACGTAAAGGATCCTGAAAGCGTAAATACAACTTCAATTGGTTCAACAGAAATAATGCCTGGGATCCAAGCGATCTTACCTTATTAAACTAGAGCACTCATGCCCTTACAAAAGATGGCGGAATTTCTACGCTCCCTATTCTTGAAAAGCGGCATAAAGGGAAGCACGCCGTTAACAAGATTAATAAAACTGACGGGCTCATGCCCTTACCAAAGATGGTGGCATACCCAACCCTTCCGATTTCTCCTTCCGCAAAAATAGGAACCGTCTCATGCCCTTATCCAAGATGACTACATTTCTACAATAGAAGAGAAGTGGGTGTATGGAGGGGGGAGCTAGCTGAGGCACGCCCCCTTCAACCCCAGGGCCCGCGCGTGCGCGAGCGAGAGACGCAGGCGGCGGCGGCGCGCGTGCAGGCGGTGCGCGCGCCGGGCGCTCGTGCCGCTGCTGTGGCTGACTCTGGCACGCGCCCCAACGAGAGAGAGAGAGCGCGCGAGCGAGCGAGCGAGAGGGCGGGAGGAGAGAGAGAGACACAGCGAGAACCGCCTCGCGCACCCTACGGGCCAAACAGGGCCCCCTCAGACGGATACGGAATTCTCGGTAGCCGAGGCAGTAAGACGAGTAGCAGCGCAAGCGAGCCGATGGCGGCGAAGGTAGCGCTGAAGCGGGAAGAGACTCCTCGCCCCTCCGGGTCTACGCTTCCTGTACCCGAAAACCCGGCGGCGGCGGCGGCGGCGGCGGCCCCTTGGCTCGGAGCGGCGCTGCGGCTGCTGGTCGCGCTGCTCCTGAACGCGGCCCGGGCCGAGAAAGAAGGTGAGGCAAAAGCGAGCGGGCAGAGGGCGCCTCCCTCGCGGAGAGTGTGCAGCCCGGGCCGCCGCGGACATTTAACAGGAGCTGTCCCCTCACGGGAACTCGTGTATCTCCCTCAGATTACCGCCTCCGCTCTTCTCTCCCCTTCCCCTCTGCAGCCCCAGGTGTTTAAATGCCCAGCTCGCTAAATTCTCTGGCATCTGCGCGGGTTCCCCCCCTTCTCCCTTCCTTTGGACTCCAACTTGCCTGCTCGCTCGCTTAATTGCTCGCTGTCCCTCTCTTGACCACCCTCACGGGGCTCTTAGCCATGCACCCGTCATTTCCAGAATATTACTGACATTCACAATGAATATGAGCTTGCATAATTATTTACCTTCCCCGCCACACACACACATCACCTCCAGTTCAAAACGAAACGATAGTGATAGTGAAGTTTCTGAATATTTCCCTATTTCCTAAAATCAGTTGCTGATATGCCCTCACACTGCCCCCCACCTCGTTTTTGGGGGGCTCTCAAGAACTCCCGTCGGTTATTTCACACCCTTTCTTTTCCTTGGTGCCCTTGCTGAGTCCCGTCTCCACCCAGCCGGGCTGCCAACTCACTGGCCTGCCCTGTTAGCCACTCTCCCGGGCTCAGGACCTGCCATCGTTGGGCCTGGCTCTCCTGGCTTTGTGATCCGGCTGTGGCAACTCCGCTTGTTTAGCCCAGCTTATCCGAAATGCATTTGATAATGAAGTAGCGTTGCTGTTTTGATCTTGTTTTATGTTTGACATGGCAATGGAACACTAGTGCACGCTTGTCCATTTTGCTAGATCCTTCAAAGGCAAGGGCAGTGACAGCCCATCCACAGCCAAGGTTGTACCTGGCTTGTTTGTTTAAAGTTTATTCTCTCTAAAATATTTTTCCTGGCCAGCTTGAGGTCCTTTCACATTGTACTTTGCCCCACTGGGTAGTTCTCCCCCCACCCCCAAAAAAAGTGTTGAGGTTCCTGGACACCATGGCACTTAAAATTCTCTCTCTCTCTCTCTCTCTCTCTCTCTGGTATTCTTTCTGGCGTCCATTTAAAGCTTGAGGGGTGGAAATGATGTCTGCCTGCTTCTAGTGAGATGGGTTTTGAGGGGGAAAAGCTCCCAGAGTGACATATATTGAACACTTAATGTATAAAATATAAATGTTACTCAGCTTTATATAAAGTGGCATTGGCTTTGATTGCTGGTTCAGCTCCAGGAACAAAAAGAAAAAGAGTGGAAACATTGGAGTGCATTTCCCACCACTCAGCCTCAAACTGATACTGTATAAGGATACATTGATATATGCAAGCTGGTTTGATAATCTTCAGGAATATATATAAATGTAATATTTTAATTATTTTAACTATATTTTACACTGTTCCTGAAGATTATTTATAAAAATATTTCAAGCAGTTCACATTTTTATTATATATTTGTTTTTGAATACCAGATTGAAGTTTCACCCTACATCTTCTGAAAAAGTTTCACAGCCGAAGAAAATATTTTAGTAGTGGTCTTTGGGCAACTGAGCATTGGAGCTGTTCACTGAGCACTGTGAAGGGGCAGCAGAAAGGTGGCTTTAAGCCAGGAGTTCTGGTGACCGAGGGAAAATTATGGCAGGTGTTCTTAGAGAAAAAAAATCTCAAATAAACTCCTAGACATGAGCCATCTTCTTGATAACTTTTAACCTTTAGTAGTTTTGGGAAGAAACGTTAAGAACTAGGCATTGAAACCCATATTGCATAATCAGAAGTAACATTTCTGAAACCCCATCTACTTAACTTTAGTTTGACACTAGCTTGAATCAAGCTGAGTTGAACCCTATATTGACATGTGTAGTTAAAAATGATCAAAATATTACAGTGTGCTGAAATTTCTGGTTGCATAGATTATAAAGCCAGAGAAATGCCATTATTTTTCTCGTGGTTTGTGTATAGACTGTATAGAGTTTTTACAGCTTTAGCCCATTCAGAAATTGCTTTTGTTTATAGGTAGAATTTGCAATGTCAGCAGTTAGTCTTGCAAAGTCATTGATAGATTTTTCCGATTCATCCAGCTAGCCTGTTCTCTGATTCTTTGATAGTTCCCAGGTCTTCCAACTATTTCTATGTCTTACTGTATCCAAAACAAAATACTGTTCTGTGGACTTGACATGGTGCTCTCTATTTTATAGTGACTGGGAGAGCTACTCTTTCTGCCTTTGCATCTACATCTGAGTAGTTAAGTACTCCTGCAGTTCCTCATTTTTTTCAAGGCAAGCTAAATGCTGAGAAGAAACATGGATTCTTTGCTTGCTTACATATGGGTACTTTATATCACTTTAGGTCCTAATACCTCCTGTCTTCCACAAGAGCACAACCCTAGCACTTTCTGGCTCATGTGTTGCCATTTGTACTTCTTGCCAACAGACTTAATTTGGCAAGACACAGCCGTGAAATGTATCCCTTTCACTCACTTTGACTGATATTTACTATGGTGATGACTTTTATAAGCTGCCTAGGGACTTTGAAGTACTTGGCGGTATATAAATGGAAATATAAATAAATAAATAGTAGGAACTTACCTACACTAAGTTTCTAAATGTTTCACTTATGAGGTTTTAGAAGCTGGTAGGGTTCCAGTTTTAGAAAATCACTAGAGGCATACTTTAAACCAGAGCTTCTTTTATTATGCACTTGGGCAGACTAAAAGATTGTGTGGAGATTGGGTTAACTCTTCTTGGTTAAGGTAGTCTGTGCCTTCAATTTACAGAAAGAGGAAGTATCTAACTAAAGGTTTAACCATTTAGCAGTTGCTGCTATTGTTAACCAGACTTGGTGAAATAATCTTTAACTCAGTGCAATATTGAATTTTTTTCTGGTTCTGCATGATGGGAAAAGTGGCTGTTACTTCTGTATCAATATATTTCAGGGCTGACAGATAAGTGTTTATGCTTGAGTCATGATCAAGAGTTTCAGCTGCAGTAGAAGTTCTCTGAGCCTTCCTTAATAGTGTGTCATAAACATTTGGGCAAATTTATATGGCAGATGGTTTATATATTGCTTCTAGTAAAAAAAATTGCATACATATTCACTAACAAAATTTTGAGTTCATCACAATGCTGAAATTGTATTTTTTCAAATTATTTAAAAATATCAGATGATAGGAAGCACAAATTAGCATTACACGAAATTGTATCACTTTCACTTGCCATCTTAGCATTTGAAAAAAATCAAGCTTTATCTAGTTTTTCACTTTTGTAGTGTGTGTGAAAGTTCTAGTTATGATTTAAATGCAAGTGCATACAGATGTTCTGGCTGTGCTATGTTTTGTTAGCTAAACAATTTTTGCTGGGTTTGCAGTATAAATACCTATTCGTGTTTCAGACTGGCAGTTTGCCACTTGACTGGTTGTCTGCATGGAATAGCATTTGCCCTCAGGCAACCAGCCAAGTGGCAAGTAGAGAAGCATGCCTATCCCTGCTGCCTGTTTACTCATAGAACTCCCAGCAGCCACATAGTGTTGCTAAATGCAGCAAATTACTCTGGCTTGTTTTTCCCCCTCCTAGTTTAAAAGAGAAGCATAAGAAAGTGCAGCTGGGCAACAGTCAACACCAAAAGAAAGAAAACCAGACTGGTCAAGAAATCATAGCTATGCCACTATTGCATTTCTCTTCCTCTCATTTGAATTGAGGAAGAGGAAAAGGTCCAGGCAACTAACTGTTCTGATATTACCTGGTACTGCTTGCAACATATTGTATTTCTTATAAACCTGGTTTATTCTCAATATACATCTTGTTTGTTAAAGGTATACTCACAAAAAACCCAGATTGCAAAGAAAGCATTCCTAATCTGGTACAATACCTCATAGATGCCACTTTATCTTACTTTCACAACTGGACAAACCACAGTCTTCAAAATAGCAAGCCTTGTATGAGAAATAAAATCCCTGGGCTAATTTCTGTGTACCTCTTGGAGGTGAAGCTTCAGGAGCAAGTCTATAGTTCCCTCATGCAAGGCTGGAGAACAAAGGTGCTGTGTAGGCCTTAATGGTGGAAGTTTTTATCGAGGCCTCTGTTTATCCATCAGTGCCTCTTAACATTCTTCCTTATAGTTTGAAACCAGTGGTCAAACATACAGATAGAAGCTAAAGGGAATATGCTTAAGTGTCAGTATTCTATGTGACAGTATGTCAGTGTCAGTATGTCAACAACAGTGTTATAAACAAAGGACTGCTAAATGTAATTGTAGCACAGAGCATAACCACTTCTTACAGAATAAAGCAGTTTTTAATTTTGTTGATGAATACAACCAGTCTGTATCCAGTTCATCAATAGCCTGGTTTACATGCAATGGTAACCCTGGTATTAGTATTAGTATTGGGGGGTGTTTGAATCCTGGGTTGTCGTGAACAAGCTGGTGTGGTAGTCACTGCAGCTTGACAGTTCTCACTGCCAGAGGGAGTGGCTAAACAATCCAAAGACTCTTCATTCTTGGCTAGTTTAATGTGATGTCAGAACCTAGAATTCCAGCCTTTCCCTGATAAGCAAGAACTGGAACTCAGGATTTAATGGAGTGGTCCTGAATTGTTTAACCTCTGCTGCTTGATTGTCCTTGCATGTGAATAGGGCCAGGACCTGCATGTAAGATCACATGGCATTGGTATGAGTAGCCCAACACATCTCCAAGATAGGCTCCAGTAAAAGCTTTTTAAATAAACCTCATTGTGGCACCAGAGGGCAGTAAAACAGTAAGGCTTAAAAAAGTTTACAATGTTTCCTGTATAGACCATTTTTTGTCTACAAAATATTGAATACTTGTGTTTAATATATCCTGCTAAGAACAGGCTCCTTGAAAAGGAAAAGATTCCCTCCTGGAACTTCCTTACCATTTTCTGTATTAGTAACACTATTATCAAAAGACACTATTATTTTTCACACTTGACTAACATAAAGTTGCCAGCTCTTGGAGTGTTTCCCCCCACCCTATGTAAAGATTTTTGATTAAAAAACA